TTTCTTTGGTAGCTCAGGGGTCACATTTCACAAGTACTCAAGGTGAAACTCAAGGTTAAAGCCCCTCCTTATGACTGTGCTACGGTGATGTTTGCATTGGCCCTATTCAAGTTACAAAAGCACTTCCTTTTCTCTCCAATACAAGGAAGCATTTAAAGGCTGAACTTGTCAGTGATGTGTGCAGCTGTTCTTCAGTAGCTCAGCTGGACTGATCTCACCATGTTTTCCCACCGTAAACTGGTCACATTGATGCTTGCACTGACTCTTCATGGTCAAGGTAAGTCTCATGTTTATATGGCAATTAAATAAAAAATTTAAGTTTTTATATAATTTAATTTTTTTCCTCTTTCTCTAGTGTATACAGGAAAAATCTTTGGAGGCCACGAGGCTGTGCCACATAGCAGGCCACACATGGTGCTTTTGGAGCAACACATGGAGGAAGGTAGAATAAAACACTGCGGTGGATTCCTTCTGAATGAGGATTTTGTGATGACGGCAGCCCACTGCCAAGCCAAGTCAGTTTTACACACTTTATGTTGAAGTACTGAGAATTCTGGTTTTCTTAACCCAACAACAACCACAGAGACTCATGTATTGGCAGTGGTGACATAAATTCAATGTCTTTTTTTGTCGATTTTTGTGAATACAATGCTCTGACCAAGCAACTAATCTGTTTCCTCCCAGATAACTTTTTCATATTAACTTTTATCATTTCAGGTCCTACAAAGTCTTACTAGGTCTCCACGATGTCCGTAACAGTAAAGAAATACAGCATGTATTTGTGGAAGAAGCATTTCCACATAAAGAATACGATGAAAAAGAATTAAAAAATGACATAATGCTTCTTAAGGTACTAGTAATAGAATTGTATTTAAAACCCTTGTACTTAATGGTAGAAATATAAATTTTTTCATCTCTTCCCACTTGTGTTTATCATGTTAGTAACAAGTGGTGTATTGAATCAAAAGGACCACAGCAATATTGTACATATTAATGTTTATAATTTTTGAATATATTTTTTTTCTCTCCCTGTTCCTCAAGTTGAAGTCCAAGGCACATTTCAACAAAAATGTGAAACCCATTGCTCTCGCAGGCCAAGATGATGAATCTCTGCCTAAATCATGTATAGTCTCTGGCTGGGGAAGAAGCGACAAAGTAAATAGATATATGACTCCAATACTCATGGAAGTCAATGTAACACTCATTGACAATGAGTGGTGTACCACAGAAAAGTTGTACTGCTCTAAAGGAGAAAATGGACCAGCTGAGGTATGTACATTTATGAAACATAACATGTACAAAACCACTTTGGTCAACTGATAATTAAATCACAGTTACTGAGGCAATCACTGCAAACTGTATGTACTTCCAGGGAGACTCTGGTGGTCCATTGGTCTGTGAAGATGGAAAGGCGTACGGG